TTGGTAATCAACAAAAGGCTAATAACCTGTGAATGTAATTATGCCTATGAATAGATTCAATAGCCAGAACACTTTGAGCAACGTAAAATCTAGCCACAGTCTCTGTTAGGGTGTCTTCTCTCATTAGCAAAGTCATCATGTCACCACCAGGCAGATACTCCATGATTAGATACCGAGCGTATCTTGAAAAGACTAATAAGTTTCACAATAAAGCGACTGGCAACTTCTGCAAGCAAATTCCTTTCAGCTCTTACATGTTCAACCTATATTATGTTCACAAAATCTGTGACTGTAAAGAAATTAAACAGGTAGCGCAGCAACACGAAAGAGAGAGGTTTCAAAGTCATGAAAAAATACAGTAGAAAGAAAAATGGAGGTGGAATTTCTCAAACATGCTATGAATGCATAAATTGAAATTAAATGACTCAAGATTTCAGATCTCACCTGTCCCCTGCTAAGCATTTCTGACTTCTTCAACTTTTTCATGGCAAAAATATCACCTGATTTTTTCTCTGGACTCAATCTTACCCGTAAACTAACAACAACTTATAAGAAAATCATAACAGAACAGTTAATTTAAAAAATAAAATATGATAATAAATTATGCAAATGATAGGAGTAGCACTCAAGAAGGAAAACAAAAAAAAAAAAAAAATGCACAGCCAAGAATCCGCATGTGATAGTTATACGCATAGGAAACAATGTTTATCTACTATCAACACCCAAGCAAATAGAATTATCTCTGAAGAGGTTGTGAAAAAACTAAGACTAGGCAAAAGAAACTGAAGAACTGGTGTTGCAGGTATTCTTATCTTAGGAAGGCCTAACATTAAATTTGAACTTGTATGACTGAGATTTATACAATAAAAGCATAAAGGGTTCTAATCCGTTTTAAATTGGAGGATTTGTACCTTTCCTGGAACTCAAGGTCTTCAATACCATCTACAGCTCGGTGCATAGAAAAACTGGACTTTGAATTTTCAAGTAATCTCCTTAAATATGGATTGACATGTCTCAACCATACTACAAAACTGAAGAATCCAAAGTGTATTTCTTTGGAACTTCATTAATCAGCTCTTCTAGCTCAAAATGATCCTACCACAACCTGCATTGTTGCTACATGCTAAAATTGAAATTAAGCACCACAATCATGACATCATGGAAATTTTGATAACAGGAACTCAAAACGGCCGTCACTGTCAATGACTTCTATCATCACCCACCTCGCTAACCACTATCTCTAGCTTTATCTACACCATAATTATTACATTCATGAATGCTATTGCTATCCATTAGTTGCTTAACATTTATAAATCACATTTCAAGTGGCATAGATTTTTGTTTTCCGTTTGAACAGAACGGTTTGCTCTAAATCTTGCAATTATTTCCAAATACCACACAAGTTTCAACACAACATGATAGTTCTTACAGTAAAAGAAGGAAAAAGACGGAAGAGCAAAAGGTGGGCGTCAAAAGGATGTCCTATGAGTCCCATAATAACTGTTTGTATTTCCAACCTCTCCAAAAGCCCCTCTTCCAATAATGGTTAAAAGGTCAAAATCATCAACACAAATCTTGTGCCTTTTAAGCCGCATATAATCTGATTCTTTGCGCTCCAAATCCCTCAGCAGATTGATCTGTTCCACTTCTGGAACATCTGAAGATGCCAACTTCTTTTCCAATACCGAACGCCTGCAATTCATAAAATTTACCAGGATATACCAAAGTCAAACGTCTTACAGTCTGTCCTCTTATCGATAACTGTCTCCTTCCACAAATTAATATCATCCAAGATAATTATACAAACAATTATAGGGTAAAAAAAGGAAGAAAGGGCAGAGTTAAAATTGTAAAAAAAAGAAGAATAAATGCAACACACTTATGAGTGTCTCTTTCTATGTAAGCGTGATGAAGGAAACTTACATTAATTCATTAAATAAGAAAAACCTTTCTAATTCATTAAATAAGAAAACCCTTTCTAAACCAATTTCCTTTGATCAACCCAAACTTTATAAAATTTCAATTCAAAGTGTTAACAAGAAAGAAGTACAACTAAATCACAATTTCTCGACATTGCCAAAACCAATCCCATGCAATCAAAATACTAAACACATTCCAGTTTCCATATCAAAGACCATACCATTAGAAAGAACTCGCAACCAGAAAACCCAAAACAAGATCTTCATGAAAGAAATATCCAAAGACGAAAAGATTCAAGGCCATGCAAAAACACTAAAGAATGAGACATATACATAGCATGCTATATAATATACCTTTCTTTGCGTTCTTGGATATGTTTCATCTGGGTTTTGTAGTGGTTCTCAACGAACTGCTTAGCCGCAGCCACCCTTTCAAGTCTCAAGCTGGTCACATCATCCCCTTCCTCGTCCTCATCCTCCGCCCCCTCCCCAGCCATTGGTCCCACCTCGTCCTCCTCCTCTCTTTGTTTCACCTCCTCCTTGTGACTCTCCATTATCAATATACCCCTTCCCTTTCTTTCGCTATCTTCCTGTTTCTCTTATATAAAGACAACAAACTCTTTTTTCTTTTCTTTTGGTTTTTTCTTCTGTGTGTATATTTCGTTGATTGTGACAACAAAGCAGGCCAGAAGTGGACCTCAGGATACAATTACAGATGATATGGTTCAGCCTTCAACAGGTTGGAACCTGGAACTTGCACGTGCGCAGTCCGACACGTAGGATTTTATTAGTGTGGACAATTGTACTGGTCACACAGAACAATTTAACGGTCTTCAATTGTCGATGGTTTCAACAAAAATGGGGTCAGTGGGGACCCTTCCTTGGCCCATCAAAATGGGACCCCAAGTTGTGTGAGCCGATGTTCGTAGCTGATCAACATTTCGACATGAATAGACTTTTTTTTTTATTATTTTATCTGTAAGAAGATTAAGCACGTGGGACCTACTAAAATGTTATACTCCGAAGATAGATTCTGTGTGAAGCTAACGTCATATGTGAGAAAATTATGGTGTAAGCATAGTTATGATAATTGATCGAATATTAAATTATTTAAGGTTTCAAATTAATGGTTTAATTATTGAGTCAATTGTTGATTTAATAAAAAAAATTATAAAAGATATAAATATTTTAAAATTTTAAATTTTAAAATTTTAGTTCAAATTATAATTTAATAATTTAATCATAAATTACAAATTTTAAAATATAAATTGTATAAAATAATTAATTATTAGTTAGAAATTAAATTATTTAACATTTTATTAAATTATATTTTATATTTTAATAATTATAAATAATATTTATATTTAATAAATAAATAAATAATTACTAACAAATAATTATAAATAATTATTTATATTTTTTAAAATATAAATATTATTTATTAATATATAATAGTAATAAAAAAAAATATCTATATATAAAATTAATAAAAAGGAAATTTATATTTATATGAAAATTAGTAAAAAATAAATTAAAATCAAATTTATATTTTTATATGAATGCAGATTTTTTATTAATTTTAAATATATACATTTTTATTAATTATTTTCTGCTCATAGTTAAATAATTAATCATTTTAATTAATATTTTATTTTTATTAATTTTATATATTATTTTTAATTATAGTATTAATTAATAAAATTCTTTGTTAGATCATCTTTTTTTGAAAATTATTTACTTTTATACATATGTAATTTTTTTACAATCCACATGTATCAAAATATGTCAATATATCATTAATATAAAGAGACACGAGCTTTAACAATAAAAAGTAAGAATTTAGGGATTTATTTATATGAAACAATAGTATAAGGGCCTAATTAGATTATTTTAAATACTTGAATAATTTTTTATATTTTATCTAAATTTATTAGTTGGTATTGAACTAATCTGATTTAACAAAAATAACTCCATTTATTGATTTATCATATAAACCCTCGATTTATAATGATTTAAAGTGATTTAATTGTAAAATTGATCTAATTATAAAATTAAATTGATTTTGACATTGATTCACTGGTTCAACTTATCAAACTGACCGTCTGATCTAATTCTAATAATTATGAGTGTAAGAACAGAGTAATTATAATAATTATTTGAACAAATCTTATGCAAAGTTTACTATAAGCATATAATTTATAATTATTGTAATATAGTAATTAATAATAATTTAAATTTATATAAGAATTATTAAAATTTTATATAAAGTTTTCATTTTATAAATGATTTTTTAATATAAATTTTTATTATAATTGAATAATTATAAAATTATAATAAAAATATATTTAAAGTTTATACGTTTACAATTATCCTTTGTAAAGTACAATTCATTTTCGAAACAATTAAATTTTTATAAATGCAAGGCCGTTCGATATGTTTACAATTATGCTTAGATAAACATGCACTAAATATTGTCTCCGAAGAAGTGTGAATTGGGGAATGTCCCTCCATCAATCAACGCATGATTAGCTCTGATTGTCAAGGCCTTTAGTAGTATATTTATTTGTTCCTCAAAAAAAAAAAAAAAAAGCTTTAATATTATTAAAACTCAAAGCAGCTGAGCTTTGTATAATAAAATTAAGAAATTTAAATTTAAATTTTACGCAAAAAGGAAAATTTATGTAACCCAACATTATATAATCATTTTTACGAATACCACAATTTAAAAATAAAAAAAAATTGTAAAATTTATAATTTAAAATTTAAATCCATTAAATATGATTTTTTTAAAATCATGAATTAACTAAACTAAACCGTAAATCTCGAATTCAAACCAATATTACACAATTCACCATAACATTTATTGCAAATAAAAAATTAAATTATATATAAATTGATATTGGTAGGACATTAATTAATTAGATAGCATGAAAGGATTAATCTGTCCCCGCGATCAATGCCGAGGAAGGGATTGTTGTTAGTCAAATGACAAAAATATGAATAAAAACAACATAAATTAAGCATTTTATTTGGTTCATGGAATAAATTAAGGATCAATAGTTTCGTGTAACATATGTAAAAAATGCATTGACTGGGCTCACCAAATTTTAAAATTTTTTTGAATGATCTAAGCACAATCACAAATAAAAAATGTTGACAAACCCATATACAGAAAAAGTAAATCGAGAATAATCTTTATTGCCTTAGCCAAAAAGAATGGCAATCAAATATCAGACTACAAAAAGATTTCTAAATCAACAGTAGTAATAAAATAATGTAATAAAACACTATAGTAAACCAGTGCCTCCAAGGCCACGGTGCAACAAGTTATGAGCAATGTGATCCCTGGTTTGTACGGAAGTCATAGTCCTCAAATTGTTATCTGGGATAACCTCATCATCAAAAAGCTCGAATGTAAGCCCGGGGTCCATCTCGTCGTTTCTCAGCTCACAAATATTATGCAAAACGCAGCAGGCTCCAAGTACAGCAGGCAACTCTTGAAGCTTCACCTCGGTTCTCTTCTGCAAACATGACCACCTACCTTTCAATCTGGCAAATGCTTCCTTGGAGACCTTTTCGATCTCCCCAATTTTCTCGTTGAAAGCATGTTGAGCCCAAGTAAGATTCTGGCGAGTATAAGGAACCAGAACCCCGTCCATCAAAGGATACCCTTTACCCCCTACGACCCAAACATCCTTCAAATGCCCCCTGGTGGCCCTTTGGTAGAAGGCTGACTTCTCCAGAATTTGGTCATCAGACATCGAACCAGGCCATCCGATACAAACATCGGTAAAAACTCCTTTTTGATCAACAACTCCTTGAAGGGTAATCGAATATGAAGTTTTCTGATTCCTCTCCGTGTGCTTTTTATTGAAATACGCTACGACGCTAACTTTTGGTGCAATGATGGGCACGTGAGTAGTGTATATTGAACCACCCACGTTCGGAATCCCAGTGATGGACTTGAATTTCTCTTTGATCCTCTTCATTTTGTTGTCGTCTGGCCATTGAACAAATTTAGGCATCAAAACGGTTTTAATGGCCGTACAAACCTCCAATACCAGCTTATGACAAGTTGAAATCCCCAATCCGAATCGTTTCGATACCATCCTAAGCGGCTCACCCGTGGCCAACCGCCAAATACAAACCGCCACGCGTTGACGAACCGGGATCGCTTCACGAAGCATCGTGTTCTTTTTCATCACCACCGGTTCCAACTCCTCGCAGACCATATCGAACGTGGCTTTGCTCATCCGGAAAGCGCGTTTAAATTCCTCTTCTGGGAAATCGGGGTGATTGCACTTCTCCCACCAGTCTTTAGATCGGTCTTTTACCCATAGCCGCCTTTGCTGTCCTGATCCACTGCCCGGTTGCGATGGGCCCACATTGTCCGAACCAGCTAAAACGGTCGCAGCAGTAGCAGCCGCTAAACTGGATTTACGGGGGCGTTTGTTTCTGGAATTATCCAACTCGTCCATTTCAGAATAAAGGCTTTGGAGCTGGTCCAAATAACCATTAATTTCTTGAACTTTTTCCCTGTAATTGGCTTCGAAGAGAGCTCTTTCTTGTTCAGAGTCAGTGACCCATTGATGTTGCTCTTCCTTTGCTTCCTCGTCCAACAGCAAAATCGAGGAAAGTATATCTCCAAACCCAGTCATCTTCAATTCATCGTCGACAAAAGATTCCTCATCTTTTCTACCCCGCTTCTTGCTGTTCCCATTGAACCCATTTTCCATATCCTGAAACCAAGAGAAGTTGGTGCTGTCGTTGCTAATGTCTTCTGGAGAAAGAAATGTGAAAGAACCAATTTCCATTTGATCAATGAATCAGGGGGTTCTTTTGATTGAAGTTGAATGGCTTGATTGACGAGACGTGAAAGCAAGGTGAGTTGAAATTGGAGATTGGAGCAAAGGGATTTGGTCATTTATATACGTAGCAGCCAGCGATACGCGGTTAGCGAGCGTTGGCAGGAGGGGGACTATGGAAGCGCGTGCGGGGAGTGTAGGTGTGAACGCGGTAAGTTGACTTCTCTTTTGCTATGGATTTGATCTTGATTTTGTTAAAAAAAAAAAAAAATTAAGCAACTCGGGGGGAACGGAATACACTTCTTTTTCTAAAAGCTCAGAGGGAACACGTTAGGAAATAGGAAAGTTGGGTTGAAGGATCGTGTAAATGACAGGGAAGGCAAAGCGAAGTAGCTGAAAAGGCTACGGATAACCTTAAACTAAAAAAAAAAAAAAAGGTTCTAGAAAAGTGTCCTTCCATTGGAGTTTAATTCCAAAACTCCTGTTTCATCCCCTCCAACGGTCGCTTAATTTGCCAACAAAAAGCAATCAATCTCCCAAATATTATTTCCTCGCCAAAAAAAAAAAATCCTAAACATTACCTTGTATAAGGATATGTTTTCTAACTGCCCAACAATAGAAAAAGAAAAAAAAAAAAAAACCAAATCCCTGTCTGAATATAAATGTGATCGGTTAATGTCTGAACAGTAATAACATTTTTCAATTATGAAACATACAATCATTTCAAAATTAAAATAACAAGATATCATGTCAACAAATTTAATCTAGTTTCAATAAAATTGTCACATCCTTGATTTATTCAATTTCACTTTTCATTAGTTTTCTCTTGTATGTCATACACACAAAAAAAAAAAAAAAAAGAAATTTACATTTATGCATGTTCACTACTTTGCAATGATGGGAACATAAATTTGATTTTTTTCATTTATACATTAATTGCATTCATTTACGTTCTATGATTTTTTTAGTTATTTGAATAATTACAAGGTCAATAAAATGCAGATGACAAGGTATTTTCAGCATTTTTTTTTTATTTAGATTGTCAAAATCGAACTTTAATTATTTAATTTTTTTTTATTTATTACCCCATGGTTGGTGGGGTGCTGAATTGTCAGCCAAAAGCCATTACATGCATCATAAATAGCACTTTAAATGAAACTACCAACTTATCTCACATTTCGTTTTGGTAGGAAAAAAGTTTTAATTTATTAATCTTAAGTTCATTTAACTATTAATTTTTTTATTTCATTGGAAATTTATTCAACTTAGATTAAAATTCGTCTTCAACTAAAATCTATATAAGATATATATATAAAAAAAAAAAAAAGAAAGGGTACAAGGGAAGAAGTAACAATATTTTTTTGCACCAAAAATATTATTTTTATTCAAATCAACAAAAATATTTTAATTAGAGTAGCAAAACAAAAAAAACACGTACAAACTTAAATGATAATTAATGATTAATTGTTTTTTAAGTAAGGTATGAATTAGCTTAATTAGTCTTTTGAATGCTCACTCGTTTTTCAACGAACAAGAGAGTTGACTTTCCACGGTTCCACCAAATGAAGAGAAGCACAACTTCAGAGAATCAGAATCAATGTTTTATTCGACTTTTTATTGTCTGTTTTTTTTTTTGGGAGGTTTTCTTAGATGCCCAATAATTTATGTTATTTACACAATTATCCCAGTTCTCATCTGGTGGTTGTGGCTTCTGTTCATTTGAGAAAATCCTGAGCCAAGAATTAATGAATGGTTTAATTTCGCATATGGGTTCAAAAAAGTTTCAAAAATTTAAAAAAGGGAAACGAATTAAAAAAAAAAGAGTGAAGCCATGGCCTCTTTTCTCAGCCCATCTGCAGCAATTTCTCTGCAACACAAGGTAAGTTTATCAGCTACCGAAGGGATTTGTACTAAAATTCTATCATTGACAATTTTGTAATTGGTTAAGGGTCGACTGAAACCATGTTGAATTCGATGAGCTGATCTTAAATGTCTGGTTTTCTGAAAGTGGGATTGATTATTCAACCCCAAACATGAAAGCTTTTTATCAGGTTATTTGCTGCTTCTTTTAATACCTTTTTCTTCCCTTTATTTGTTTTGGATTGGCAGTTAAATCGTACAAGTTTCAGTGCTATATCTCCAAATACGCCATCCAAAATTTCCCATACTATTTTGGGAAATGGGAGATGTCAGGGGTTATATTTCAAGACCAAAGCTAAGGGTTCTGTTGAAGGAAGTTTACTTGAGAAAGAATCAGATACTGCTAGTATCGATGAGAAGATAGGTAACTGCTCCTATTCAGTAATGTTTTGTTGTCTATGGTGAATATCTGATCTCAGGGAAACAAATATAGTCTTGGAAGCGTGATTTCTGTAATATTCAGGAAATAGAGAATGAAATTAGCATCAGATCTAGCCCTGTTATAGCTCATATGGCTTTTCATGCATCTTTGAAATTTTTATTTAAAAGCATTGAAGAAAATTGACATTTCAGTGGTATTTCATGTTTTTCTGATTTACAAAACATACTTATTCGCCTTACCAAACATGTTTCATATACTTTTTCCTAAATGCAACTTTTATATTTCTAATTAGTTTACAAAACAGAATGAATGTAATGCAAGTCTCTTGTTTTTTGGTCATTGTTGAGAATAGAACCCGAGACCCAGCTGTCATGGTGCCATAGCTCATAGTTTGTCACTGTTTCATGGACTTTACAGGCAAAATAAAGTTGGTATCCATTCTCTAAAGTTTTCAGTAAAGTTTATATTGTTGCTTAGTCCTACATTTTATGCTTTTCAAATTTTGATTGAATTGCATTTAATTATTGTCATTGATGTAGATTATGGAGTTATTGGTGTTCACCATGTTGGAATTCTGTGTGAAAACCTTGAAAGATCGCTTGAATTTTATCAGAATATTTTAGGTATGCTTCCGTTTTCTATACTAATATATTCATTTGTTTGGTAAGAGAGAAGAGAATTCTAAATTGAGCATCTGCTTAGGTCTTGAAATAAATGAGGCAAGGCCACACGATAAGCTTCCATATAGAGGTGCTTGGTTGTGGGTGGGTTCTGAGATGATTCATTTGATGGAACTTCCAAATCCAGACCCCTTTACTGGAAGACCTGAACATGGGGGCCGAGACCGTCATGCTTGTATTGCAATTCGGGATGTATCTAAGCTGCAAGCAATCCTCGACAAAGCTGGTAAAATCCTTTTCCTTATTTCCACGGGCATCTTTGCCAAGCAATATTTCATTGCATGATATCTTTTTGTTTCTAGCTTTCTAATAGCAGAATTCCCAAGTAGCTCTATAGGTTACAGACAGAATGAGGATATCTTATTGCAAAATTGTTCCATATTGCAGGTATTCCCTACACACTTAGCCGATCTGGGAGGCCAGCAATCTTTACACGAGATCCAGATGCAAATGCACTAGAATTCACGCAAGTTGAGGCCTGAGATGTTTTAGCATTCGAAGCCTGGATTTCTAGAAAATATCCCTGTTCCTTTTTTCTCTCAGGACAAAAAACATGTACATAATAATTGATATTGCCAAGTTTTCCCGCTATGCCATTGGCATGGCAACTTGCTATAGATGAACAAGGATGTAATACTTAAATCCCAAATCAGCTTGCTTGAATTTCCCAGTGGAATTTTGGGATGATGATCAAAATCTCTAGTCAGAAAGGCTCTTTCTTTCTGGCTTTTTGTAAACTGTCACCTAATTATCCCATGCTATTAACAAAGTTACGTTTGTTATCTTTCCAGTTGCTTTTAGGTCACCGTTTCACTTTACAAGCTAGTAGATTTGGTTTAGTATGAATTTCTCAACCTAGAAACGTGGGACTCCCAGCCTGCTTGCATGCATCGGTTTGCAATGCTTTGGCATTTGTTTTCATCTCAACGTATTATTTTAGAAGAATCATCGAAGACTTACTGGTGCTGGTTACCAAGCGACATTATCCACTGAAAAATATTTGCAAAAATATGATACGGGCGAAGCCAGCATTTGGAATAAGGGAGGGTGAGAATAATGAATAATATTACAGCAATTCAAAGAGTCAAAAAGAAAACTTCATTCGCACAATATCAATCGAGATAAAAAATTTATTTTTGTTAAAGCAATACTAATCGAGATAAAAAATTTATTTTTACTCAAGCAAAGAGATAGTTATATTGAGAATCGGATGAAGAATTAAAAAAAAAAAAGACTTATTTTGATAAGAAAACGACTATATATGTTAATAAGGCATATAGATTTAATAATAAAATAATTGATTTGAATTTTAATTAAATTTAAATAATAAATTGGACTTCAATTTAACTTGAATATTGAGTTGAATAAATTAATAATAACTAATAAAATAATAAAAAAATCAAATTTACTCGTTTTTTATACCCTTAGGGGCCATGGCTCATGCCATCTCACATCCCAAGCTTGAAGTAATCTTGTCCCAGCCTTCTCCTTACATAAACATATTTTATTATCCAATTTTTAGGGGAGGGCCACGGCCTCTGTCAGCCCCCCTTTAGTTTCGCCTCTGACGGTGATTGATATAAAAATAATTTTTAAAAATTTTAAAACGATATTATTTAAAATTTTAATAAAAATTATGAGTTTAGTAAAAATTAAAATATGTATTTGTATTTGATATGCAACAAAAATTTAATGTAATAATTTTTATAGTTTACATATATTTAATATAAAAAAGACACAATTTAAACACATAAATACATGAATTCGTAGGTGTAAACATGAGCTATCTTTTGGATACAAGGTTATTGGATTTTCCATCAATTGGTCATCTTAGGAAAGGCTATGGTCTACGGGATATATTTTTTTCTTTTTCGGAAATAATGAGATGTCTTCTACCAAGCAAGTAAGAATTGCTTCCTGAAGAATGAAAGAAACCGAAACTATACCTTGAACTCTATTCTAAAAAGTAGAAAGGTCCTCAACATGTTGGCTAGATAAAGTTTTTAAGAGGACATAAAATTTTGATTTCAGACAAAGATCTCCTCTTATTTTTTCTGGGTTATATTCATTTTATGTATAAAAAAAATGTTGACCCAATGATTAAAGAGTTTCTAAAAGAATATAAGGTCTTCGAAACCTTCTCCCCTTTCCTCCTTTCCCTACCAGCGGACACGAAATCAGAAATATGAAAAAAAAAAAAAAAAAAAAGCCAAAGGAGGATTTAATATTATTTTTGGTGAAATGCAATATTCTGAACAATGGTATAAAAAAAATTTGGTGGGGGTATGGCCCCCTAGCTACGGCCCTGCCTAACGGGATATGCCCATCTTGTGTTAAAAAAAAAAAAGAGAAAAGGTCGAAAGGGTTTTCATGCAAGAAATTGTGGTCTTTCGTACATACACATTGTAACATGCAAAATAACATTTAAATAATCCTTTGCATTGCGTACCCACACCATGTAAAAATCTATTGTTTAAGTGCTTTGGTTGCGGGGGAAAGATCTTGTAATTTCCAAGAAAGGAACCATGACATAGACTGCTTAATATAATTTACTAGACAATGTCACCCGTGACTTCCAGTCCTGTATGGCAGAGCGTAATGTGTGATTTGGAGTCAATATGGAATGCTGAAGCCTACGCTTTGTAACTGGTGATACATTGTGTTTCTCAAGCCATGCCTTAATTGCTCTGTGCTCATACGTAAAACCATCTGCAGCAATGTGAGGGTCATCCATCACTTCCTGTATTAACCAGAAAAAAGAAAAAAAATTGAGAATGCAAGGAAATAAGATTATGCTTAAGCTATGATCTAGAAATTCTGCTAACAATTTTTCACCTGAAGGATTGGACAGAAGTAATGGCTTCGAGCATATACATTGTTCTTTTCCAAATTTAAACTATCATCTGCAACCTCCACAAGTCTTTTGAGAATTGGCAGAACCACTGTGTCAAGATCTGGTCTGTCCCTGCATCTAAGCTTTGAACACTTCAGTGCTATTCGAGCTAATTCTTCCGTTTCAGCTAGTGGCCAATCTGTAACTGACTTGTCTAGAATGTCAGCAAAGGAGCTCTTTGTAATGGCATTTTCAACAGCGAGTATGAGTCCATTGGGATGGCGAGCTGTCAGTAGCTGGAGTGTTGTAATTCCAAGAGCATATAGATCTGATTTTGGTCTGATGGTGCCGGTTCTCTGATACTCAGGATCCATGTAGCAGAGAGTACCAGCAAGAATAGAGTCTTTGTACTCGGTGATGTTATCAGGCACAATATCTGAAATAAGCTTAGCCAGACCAACATCCCCAATTTTGCTGACATAATTTCCATCTAACAATATATTACCCGGTTTTAAATCTCTATGGACAATAGGATCTGGCTTTGAGCTGTGTAAAAATGCAAGCCCAGAAGCTACTTCAAAAACTATGCGGAACCGAATAAACCAAGGAAGAGGAGGTTTTCCATTTCGCTGGAAAATATGTTCCTCCAGGCTACCATTTTCCATGTATTCATAAACCAAGCAACCATTCTCTGGACAGGCTCCAAGCAGCAAAACAATATGTGGATGGTGTAGCTGGCTTAGAACTTCAACCTGCAAAAAATTTGGGGTGAAATTTTTATGCTATAATGGCAGTGAAATATTGAGCCATTTGTGAAGGACTCTAGCCAAATACTTAGCCATTACTAGAAACTAGCCATAGCCCATAGTACACAAAATGGAAACCTTCTAGCATACAAATTCACGAACTTTATGACTAAATGATATGAGTGTGATTGCAATAAGGACAGACAGGCATAGAGTTCAGAGTAGGAGCAATCTTCACTAGGGATCCAGCTAACAGAGTTCTTCAAACAAGTCATGGTGGTTGAAATAGTGATGAAATCAGTTCATAAACATGGCTGCAGCTACAAACTATATGCTACAGAAAATTACCTCCTTCAGAAATTCCTCTTTCCTATCTACAGCATCAGGTTGAAAAATCTTAACAGCAACAGGAGTGCGATGAAGACTACATTTATAGACCTTCCCATATCCTCCATGACCAATCACATTACTCTCGGAGAAGAAATCTGTTGCTACTTCAATTTCATCCCTGGTGTATTTTCTGTATCTTCTGTCACTACAGAAGAGTGCATCAACAATTTTCTGCTTCTCCAAGGATTCTTTCTCTGCATTCAATTCAGCCACCTGCCTTTCATAAGCTTCTTTAGAAAGCAGGTTTTTTGCCTCATCAACCTGCTTTATTGCTTGCAAATGTTTTGCTTTCTCTTCTGCGGCAATTTTTCTAAAAGTTTCTTCTCTTTCCAGAGCAGCATTCACTCTTCTTGCTTCCTCAAGGCATTCTGAAGAAACTAATTGGACCTGCAAATTAAAGCATAAATGACTACATTCAACAGCATGGACAAAAAGCCACATTAATTTCTAGGCTATTCAAATTCACAAATTCTTCTCTCTCTAAACTCGGGACTAAAAAATACATTATAAGTGAAAGCTAAGCAAATTGCATTTTGAATACCATCTATTCAGATTGGTGGACTGTGGTTGAAATCCAGTAATCCAAAACATGGATTTTCATTTCATAAACTTTTTGAGTGGTGGTTGGCAAAGTGGGGTTGATAAAATCACGTAGATATATCTTCAACAACAGCATGGGTAATCGAAAGGATCTTCAAGAAAGGGAAATTGAAATTGTGTGAAGCAAAACCCCATTCTATCAGAGTGTAGAACTTCTTGCAAAAGCATCAGTGAACATTCTAAAGTGCTCGTTTTCTCACCTTGTTCTGGGTGTAGACAAGCTCTTCACAAGCTTGTTTATACATGGCAATAGTATTTTGTAATTCTAGACGCAGCTGTTCCACTTCAGTCGGCAGATTCAACTGCATATAAATTTTATCAAAACTCATCCATATAACATATGAAACAGAAGAATTACCAAAATAAGATGCAACCTCCATAATAAATGCTCAAGAAAACTCACCTGTTCAACCTTTGTAGAAGCCATGGAATCGGACTGCTTAATAGTACTAGCATTTGTTGAAGATCCCACAGATGAAGATGCACGCAAATATGGGAAGCTGTGCTCCGATAAAGATTCTATCCCAATGAAGTTGTGCAGGGTAGATTCTGCAGAAGCATTAGCAGGACTAGATATATGTTTACTAATGCCACTAGAACTTTCTTTTTGATCTGTCGCAGTAACCACTGATGACCTATTGCTGGTCCCTGTGATATTGTAAAAGAGAGAATCAAAACTGTTGGTAAACTCATTATCTTGAAGGCCTCCATTAGTAGGAAATAGACAAACATAGACGCAACTATTTCCAACTTACCGCTAGTCCATAAGATATTAGCTGATTTTGTGATGATTCTTTGTCTATAAACAACCTGAATATCACAAGTATCAGGAGCACACCTCAGGACAGTATTAGGTACCCCAGATCCCTTCAGCTTCCTATAGTAGACATTGCAGAAGATTAGCATTTGTAGTTCCATAGACATAAAAAAGCTAACAGGACTATCATACAGGCATCTGAAAAACTTGGTCAGCAATATTTCCCATACAAAAGCACTTTATTCAACATTCATATCGCAAAACTAGCAAGTAAATGGATGCCATTAAGCTCACTACACACATTCACATATATTTCAAGTTTTAACACTAAATGAACAACAGCAACACATACCTTGTTATACAATTGCAATCATAAGAACCCAATACCAAAGTGTTAATCCCAAACTCAGAAATGTATCTTAGAAGGCCAGTCGCAGGATTGTCATCCTCAAGCACCAATGTTTCCATCTACAAAAATGAAATAATTTTTTTAAAGAAAAATAAGAGAAATTTGGCACAAAATTTATACTTTATTTGCAAGATTAGTTTGAAAGGAACCTTTATTTTTTTGTAACACAGAAGCCAAAACCCACCTTTCTTGTTTTGAATAGCTTCTTAAATGGTATAAAGACGTCCTCAAACTTCAGTTTCACTTCTTGAACATACATTGCCACCACATTCTCATCCATGTCCGTGATGGGTATTCGATCTCCAGCTGTAATAATCATATACACCAAATTATCAACAGAAAGCAGCTCAATTTGACACCTTTTCGTTGCAAAATAAAAAAAAAAGAGCCATATCACTTTTTCACTGTAACTTTTGACTATGGAATTCTTTTTTCTTTTCGAAACTTAGTATATTTTCCTGCCAAAGTTAAAGTATCATGCTTGGTCTCAATAACTGAATTAACCAAACTAAATTTTCTTCAAAACTTAAATCCTCCATTAAAATTTCAATATCCCAAATTCATGAAACTCTCAAAAGTTCAATTCAGTCAATCATCATTTGATCAAACAAAAGCGCTAAAGACAGGAAAATGAAATATGAGAAAGGTAAAAATTATATAACCAATACTTACACGGAGTTGGGACAGAGGTGACTGTTGGCATGACGTGGACCAAAACGACACGATCAGCTTTCAAATTCTCCACAGCCCATCGAACCGCGCGTCGGCTACCGCTTCCTCCAGCGGTTCCTCCCTTCACGGCAACCGCAACGGTCGTCATCTTTGGCGAAACACCACCGCTGCTGACACTAGCCACGTTTGTTTCCAGTCATTCAAGTTAAAAGTTGGGATCTTTGAAACCTTGCGGCCGGTAGCGTTGACGACTGGTCATTTACCCACATTGGCTTCGTCTGCCAGCGTTTTATCACACTTTGTGTGGAGAGAATTTCATTCAGGATCCTCTTTATTATAATATTATAACTTAATCGCTCGCAATAAAAATTCTTTATTATAATGGTATAATAATCAATTACAATAAAAATTTTATGCAATTTATCACTTAAAAATTTAAACTTCACATAATGTTTTATGAACCTAATTAATATTAAATTATAATTAACTAATTATTTTATAATTATTATAAATGATATATCCTCCTTTGCATGAATTAATATAAATATACATACATATACTAAAATATAAAAAATAAGGATTTATTGCACTATTTTTAACTCTTAAATAAAAATTAAATTCATAATATTTAGATTAATTATTTTGATCAAAAAATTAAAAAAAATTATAACACTTAGAATAATATAAGCGAATATCTTTTTCTAAAAATATAGAAAATATGCATACATGTTTATTACAAATTAAAAAAAATTAAAAAAATACATTAAATGCAAAATTAAAAAAATTTCACTATTAAAATAAAAAAAAAGGAATTCTTAATATGAAAAAGTTTTATCAATGATTATTATGGATTAAAACAACAGCCCTTGGATGGACCTGTGTATTTGGGTTTTAAGCCTATTTGAAAGTTGGTGGCCCAAATCTCCCCTTTTCTTTTCCTCGGCTCCAAGCCTCCAATTCCATTTGAGGTCCATAAAATTCAAGCCGACGACGCAACAAAAGAGGAACGTATAACCGTTTAATTCCTTCCAAATCGGTCAGAGTTTCAGTCATAAATCAGCGCATGGTTTCAATTCCCAATATCAGTAGTAAGTTGTTTTGACAAACTAGTTCTTATAGCTGGAGCTTGTCAATTTCAAGCGCAATTCTTATCATAGTCTAAATCAATCGTTCAACGCGGTTTATCACTGGATGATGCGCCGATCCAAGTATTGACAAGTCAAACCTAACCAGTTGAATGCACAAACCCTTCAATGAATACCGAGCGAGCTCCTCGTCCAAGTTGCCCAGCGCCCACGTTGCCAAGTTTGTTGAGGGAAGGAACTTTGTATATCAGTCAAATCAAATGCTTTTTTAAGGTAAGCAACTTTGTTGGTCGGCATATCAGCGGTGGATTCAACTCCTGGCGGTGAGCCCATGAACCTGAGTTAAGAATTTATAAACGTCAAGATATGGCATTTAGATAAGCCTAATCTATCCATGGGAACATTGCTGTACGAAGCTTTTGTTTTCTTTTACATGGGGGGTTTTTCCAGTGCAGAGATACCATATATTAGGTATAACTGAAGAACAAGGGACTGAGGCCTTGATGGCTATAATTGTTCCTTCGTTGAATATTTTTCTCAATAATTGAAATCAAGAAATATCTTAAACATTACTTTGTTGTTTTCTTCTTCTTTTGCTTTTTGAAAAGTCTTTGAAACTGTCGGCTAAGGGCAACAGTTGATGATCCTGGGCGTCTCATATTGACTATTTGATTTAAAATATTAATTCGTAAATTAAAGTATAAAATAATAATTTTATTAATATAATATATATAATTAAAATATAATAAAATATATTTTATATATATTTCGAAATGTATGAAAGAAAAATATCTTAAACATGCTTTTGTCTCAATCTCATATTTTATAAAAAATTTAACTAATCTCAACTCAAATATAATTTTTTAAAAAATAATTTCTATCAAATCATGATGAATTAAAATTCATCAAATACAAATTATTTTATTATTTTATCAATGATATCTTTATTATAAAACTCATCTCTTAAAATATACCAAAAAAATCAAATAAGGCACCACGTAGGCATCTCTATGTGACCTCATTTTCTTTAATAAAATTAATTTAATAAAAAGTATAAAAACCAAAAAAAAAAAATATTAGAAAAAAAAATGGTCCTCTAATTGTATAAAGTCATTGAAATTTAATGGATATCAATTGTTTTATCATCTCTGTTCATCGAATCTTTTTATTATTACATTATATAATTAAAAAAAACTAAATTAGAGTGTCTCTTGAACAATTTCATTGAATTTTTTAATAAATTTATCTAAGAGTCTCAAGTGAGTTTAATTAAAAAATTAAAATATAAAAAATTATTTATTAAATATATAAAAAATAAAGAAGAAAAAAGACATGTAATATATTTTTTATATCAAATAAGTTTTATATAAAAATTTAAAATCCAAAAAATATTTATTATTTAAAAATAAAAAAAATGAGAAATGAAAATTTTGGTATAATTGGTTTGACATAAAAATAAAATTAAAAAAATTGTTTTGGCTATTTTTTAAAAATTAATTAAAATAAAAACTATAAGTAAAAAACAGAAAAAAAAAAAAAAAAAAAAGGGAAGCAAAATTGCGGCATATGGCACAATATGATTCATTCGTACATAAACAAAGCTAAATGCATGGATAAATAAATAGGCAGAGTGTTCTTTCTTTCCTTTAGCGATAAAAGCCAAAATCCATAGTACATTCTTTCTTTCCATAAGCGATAAAAGCCAAAAGCCATAGTACATTTTTTCCTTCCTTTAACGTCGTCCACTGCATTGGATGTCAATCAGTTTAAAGTGTTGTGTTCAGCAGTGACGCGAATGGTATGGATGAAATCAGCGGTGACGCGATGAGTAATTCGTATTTTTATGTAATGTAAAATATTAAAATTTATATATTTATATTATATTTTATATAAAAATTAAATATTATAATTTATATTGATATAAAAATATAAATTTGTTTTAATTTTATTAAATATATATAATAATTATTATATTTTAAATTATATTATTTTTATATTATATTCTTATAATATTTTTATATTATATTTTAAATTGATAAATTTACGTGTGAGCAAGAGTGGACAGATTGGTGGTGGAAACTAACTCCTTTTTAGCCATTAAAGAAATTAACAGATTGGCGACGTCATCTTTCAACTCTTTGGTATAATAAAAGTGATTAAAAACCAAAATCTACTTTCCTGAATGTTAATGCCATTAATATAAAAGTTAACAACTTCCTCAAAATACTTCTACCATAACAAGCACTCAATTTGGCTTAACTAATATAAAACCTATCCATCAAAATTAATCGCAATATCTCAACACTTTATTAGTAATTTTTTTTTTTTTGTAATTACCATGAATGGTTTATTGCAAATCATGACACAACACTTTATTAGTAATATTTTTTTATGGTAGACATAAAGTTCATTTCCACCTTGAAAGTGGGGGAAATGGCAGTTGGTGATGACTTGATGAAGAATTAACAGCTTAAAACTCCAAAGCTGAAGGTGCAAACTCTTCGATGAACCGAGTGAATTCATCCAAGTACTTGTTACTCAACTGTTCATTGCCAAAAATCTCTCTCATTGCCCACGCATTTGCTCTGATCGGCTCCCCTTCTGGCTCCACCATCACCTGCCTAATCTTCTGAGCCACCAAGTCGCTTGTAAATGAACCGTCCTGTTCATTTCTCTCTATTTCTAACCCAACCTTCTTGCCATGCAACAACCTAGCGTTCAACCCCTGATCCGAACTTGCCCCGGAAAACAAGATCAAAGGCCGACCCAACTTGAGTGCCTCGATAATCGAACTCCAACCACAATGAGTCAAGAAACCACCAACAGAGGAGTGAGCTAATATTCGTAGTTGAGGTGCCCAATCTCTCAAAACCAAGCCCCTGTCAGAGACTCGCTCTTCAAACCCTGGAGGGATAATGTCCTGATGACCCACCTGCCCTTCAACTAGTGCGCTGCTCCTAACCACCCAAATAAAGGGCAAGTTGGATTTCTCTATTCCAAATGCCAACTGGTGCATAAATTCTTGACTCAGAATCACTTCACTACCAAGTGCAACATAGAAAACTGATTTCACTCCTTTGCTATCAAGCCATTTCTTTATAGCTTCCCATTTCTCATCTCTTTTATCTTCCTTAGATGGCAGTGATGGAGGCAGCAACCCGAGTGGAACAACAGGTTTCTGGTAAAGTTTACTAAGCAATTGAATCTGATCAGGTTCGAACTGGGAGCAGCTCCGAATAGTTACAAATTGGCAACCTTGAATCACTAGTCCACCCCGTTGAAAATCAGATACATCTTCCATGCATTCTTGGTGATTCAACATCTCATAGAGCTTAAAAGCTATGTTAAAAGGATAATCGATCCACTTAGGGACAACTGTGAAGTCTTCTGGTCGTTTTCGGAGATCACCAAGCAAAGCTGATGGTGGGCCAAGGAAAGCAAGAAAAGAGGCATTGAATATGCTGAAGAAAGCTAAGTTGATGCCGAGTGGAGTGGCAACTCCAGGTAACCAGTGAGGCGTAAAGTCATGGATTATCCAGTTGACATGAGAGGTTTTTAGGAACTCTGTCAAAGGGACTTCGAGCTTGTCATATGCCTTTTTAAGATAAGGAACTTTTTGGATCGGTATCTCAGCGGTGGACTCAACTCCTGGTGGTAGGCCATGAATCTGAGGAAGAGGAAACTCGATAAAACTTATGTTAGAGGACAGATGTAGGGGAAGCTTAGGGAGGCGGCTAATGTTTTTAGGGGTGGAAATATAGGATATGCGATGACCCTTTAGAGCTAAGAATTTGGAAACCTCAAGAAATGGCATTATGTGACCATAAGCTAGCCATGGGAACATTGCAATGTGAAGCTTCTCTGTTCTGTCCATGGCGTTTTGTTGATGCAGATCTTGTATCAGAGACAACAGATTGGAAATTGGAAAGTGAGATCTATGATATCAAAGGTGACTGCTCCTTTCTCCTCTATTTGATCAAGACATAGACCTTTTTTCTGGCTGAAAAGTCTCATTCTACGCTCCCCACGTAGACAAATGACACAATTTTCTCCTTGTACTTTCGTAGTTGAGACGGCATTCTGTCTGCTTTAAATTTTATAAAATACCTCTAAAATATAAAAGTTATTTCACTAAATTAATATTATATAATATTTTTTATTTTCTATTAATTTTTAAGTCACATCGTTTTCTGTTTAAAATTGAAAGATTCTATCATTAACTTTTCAAAATTATTATATTACTGATTAAGAGCCTGCAAGTTGCTAAGACTGCTTAATCAATTAACTTTTTATTAAAAAAGTGTCTGTTCTTCGTGATAAATAACATAATATAATTTTTATTCTCATTCAATAAGGTAAAAATTTTGAGAATGTTATGCTTTATATTTTAGTCAAATAAGACAAGACATTAAAATTAAATTGGGGGTAATTGTCGCTAATGGGTGATTAAAAGAAAGAAAAAGAAGGGTCGACGATGGCTGTAAATTTGTAATTGTAAATGACTAGTTCAAAACAACTAACAATAAGTTGAAAATTGTAGTTGAATAAAATATGAATTAGTCCTAATGGGATAATTTTTTGTAGCTCAAGCTCTCGCATGCCCCACTTATTAGACAATTACCTTGAAAATTTGGCTATTATTGGTAGCTATTATTAGATTATTGAACCTTGTCGAATATTTATAGATTAACATCCCCGACCAAGCTTTGAGATTTTCTACCACTTCCTAGCTTAGCTCTAGTCAAGAAAGTCAACACGTGTCCTCTATTCTTCTTTACTTGGAAGAGGGCTGGACAACGTTATTTCCATTGCTTAGGAAATAGGAAATAAAAAAAAAAAAATGGAAGAGTTTATATTTGAGGGATGAAGAAAGAGAGAAAAAAAAAAAAAAACACATAAGAAAGAGGGAGAGGAATGGAGAAGAAAAAAGGTTGAATAAGATTTTTGGTATACAATCTTTTTTAAATTATTTTTTCTGAAAATTTGCAGCGGAGGAGAGTCTATCTTTTTTGAGTGGCTAACAGGTTAACTAGATAAGCTTTTTCATTTCGACGTGAATATTTTTTAAATTAAAAAAAAAAAGCAATTTTCTTGTTGATTGATGGGAAGCCAGGTCATGATGTGGCTCTTTTCATGTTTAGCATTTTTTTTCTTCCTATTTTTGTATTGATTAAGGATGAACAATATGTATTTATTTATTTATAAATCATACCTTTAATTTTTTTCATTGAAGTCCTTCACTTTAATTATATATTTCCTTTTTTTTTTTTTAATATTTGTGAAATGTGCTTATAAGCTTTCACTCTAGTGGAGTAAATGGCAGCCAATAACAAAGATTATAAGCACATCTCGTAAATGCGCTTTTGTACTCAATCTTATTTATACAAACTATGTGTTTTTTTTTTTTTTTCCCTGATAACAAATTGATAACCTTATTATAATACACAAAGAACATAAAAGTATAATAAAAAAAAAAACAGCGTGCTTTTACAGGGGCCAAAATCTAGTTCATTGTAATTACAAAGGGTACACAGATACAATGTAACAAACTACTTCTTTTGTAAGAAGTGGTTGTGGTTTTTTTTTTTTTTTTTATAAAAATGATATAATAGTACTCATGTGCCCAAAAACCGTTCGAACATCATCATTGGAAGGAGGAAATTCTTCTATGGAACGAGTGAACTCGTCCAAGTACTTGTTACTCAGCTGTACACTGCCAAAAATATCCTTCATTGCATGTGCATTTGCTCTGAGTTGCGAACCCTGAGGATCCACCATCACTAGCTTGATAGACTCAGCCACCATGTCACTTGTAAATGATCCATCAAGATCGTTTCTTTCTATTTCCAATCCCATCTTTTTGCCATGGATCATCCTGGCAACTAATCCAAGATCCGAACTTCCTACAGGAAACAATATCAAAGGAACACCGAACCCTAGTGCCTCAATAACTGAACTCCAACCGCAGTGAGTTAAGAAACCACCGATTGAGGAGTGAGCCAAGACCCTGAGTTGAGGTGCCCAGCCCCGTAAAACCAACCCCCGATCGGAAACTCTTTCTTCGAACCCGGGAGGGATTATGTCCTGTATCAAATGTCCTTCAACTAAAGGGCGGTTCCTGACTACCCAAATGAAAGATAACCCTGATTTCTCTATCCCAAACGCCAACTCCTGCATGAACTCTTGACTCATACTCACCTCACTGCCTAGTGCAACATAAAAAAACTGACGTCTCTTGTTTACTATCAAGCCATTTCTTTAATGCTTCCCAATTCCCATCTCCTTTATCTTCGTTGCTAGGCAGTGATGGCGGCAATAGTCCAAGTGGTACAATTGGTTTCCGATGAAGCTTACTAAGCACACGAAGTGCGTCAGATTCGACCTCAAAGCAGCTCCTCAAAGTCATAATGTTGCAACTCAAAAGCAATGTTCCGAACCGTTCAAAATCGGACACAGAGTCCATGCACTCCCAGTGACTCACCATTTCATGGAGCTTAAAAGCGAGGTTATTAGGATAATCCATCCACACCGGGGTCATCGTGAAGTCTTCTGGCCGTTGTCTACATCCACCAAGCAACTCTGATGGAGGGCCAAAGAAAGCGAACGTTGACGCACAGTATATGCTGAAGAAAACTAAGTTGATACCGAGTTGATTCGCCACAGGTGGTAACCAGTAAGGAGCAAAGTCGTGGATAATCCATTGGACTTGTGATGACCTTTTAAGGAACTCAGTCAACTGAGTTTCGAGTTTGTCATATGCTTTTTTGAGGTAAGGAACTTTGTGAATGGGTAACTCGGACGTGGACTCAGCTCCTGATGGCAGGCCATGGACCTGAGGCAAAGGAAATGGTATAAAGGTTATGATGGAGCAGAGATGCTGAGGAATCTTTGGGAGGCTGCCGATGTTTTTAGGAGTGGAGATATAGTATATATGGTGACCCTTTTGAGCTAAGAACTTGGAGACTTGAAGAAATGGCATGATGTGACCATAAGCTAGCCATGGGAACATTACTATATGAAGCTGTTTTTTGCTGTCCATAACTGGAAAATTGAAACTGCTGTAAGAATATTGAGAAGATTTTTCTTCAGCTTTATTTGCTTTGTTTACACTTCATTCCTAGCGGAAGTTAAGAAGATAGAATTTTAAGGAATAGTGAGGGTTGCCAATACAAATAGCCCTAACTCCCAATAAGGCAATAATTCTTTGGACACCTTTCCGGGTCCTTTTGTTGACAGGTTGGTGAACGTAACTCTTCTTTGGGTTGGGTCCACCATGCGTTCAAGTGCATGGTCCATCTACAGCCGCAGTTATGTATGGCAACAAATTGATTAGATGCTCAACTAGATCAATTCTTAATTTAAAAGATAACGTTTAATTTAGTTCAAATTAATAGTAAACGATTTTGAATTTACTCAAATAAAATTTTTTACGAAAATAATATACATGTGCATTAAATGACTTGATTTATTAAAATAAGCTGATGGTATGTTATTTTTTGTATATATGATATGCCAGGTGGTTATTTAATAAAATTTGAATGTTGAAAATATTTTAATCTCGAAAATTAGAAATTTAAACCCTAATTTAGAACAATCTAAATAAATTTTGGAAGAATTGAAATCTACAATTTCATGTTTCTCAAATAAAAATTCAAATCAACCAAGGAGTTAAACCTAGAAAATAAATTTTGAAGAGAAATAGAAATCCAAAAAAAATAATAAATTCAATCAAATTAAACCCCCAAATCAAATTCAACAAAAAAACTGAAATCCCAAACTAAATTTAACAACAAACTTAGAACCTAAATCAACAATAAATTTAAAGAAAAAATAGAAACTCAAAAACTAAATTTACCAAAAAAATCATTTAATTAGTCATATCAAGTAAATAAAAAACATAATCAAATCTATTAAAGAAATAAAGCCCACAAATCAACATTATCACCAAACTGGAATTTGTGATTTTAAATTTAATAATATAATAAAAGATAATAATATTAATAAAAAAGAACAAAACGATATGAGATGAGAAGGATAATGAATGATTGTCAACAAGTGAACAGTTAACAAAGATAGCAAGGAAAGGAGACAACAGGTGAGATCAATGATGGAGGAGTTGATAGTCACCAGGAAAAATAAAAAATAAAGAAGTAAAAAGTTTTAAACTACAGAAAAGAAATGTGTAAACGTCAGCAACTTACAAAACAAAAGCAAAAGAGAGACAAAAAAGGAAAGGATGACTGGACCTAAAAGCAGTTGCAACAAAATTTGGAAGGGAGAAGAAATCATTCTAAAGATTGGGAAGGAAATAAGTAAAACAAAAAGCTATTTTTTTATATTTTTAATTTTTAATTTTTATATTTTTTTACGCAATATTTCAATAAATATTAATAAATAAAATAAAATAAAATAATTTTTAAGAAAAAAAATATGTATCCATTGTTAAAAAATATATATATATATATATGTATCCATTGTTTAAATAATTAAAATTAATAAAAAAAATTATAACAATTATTATTTGGATGAAGAATAAAAAATTAAAAAATAATTTATTATAATAATTTTTTTAATTATAATCTTTCGTTATCTTTAATTTTAAAATATTCTTGTACTATAATATATTTATTGTCTTATTTGACTTTATAATTATTGTTGTATTAATAATTTTTAACTAATTAAAATAAAAAATATTTTATAAATATGTACTGATAAATTTTTTATATCATTATCAAAATTTTAGCACATAGATGACCCAAAGCAGTCAATACAATGCCGCCACTTTTTGACCAAAGAAATCAATCCATTGGAGTCGTCTTGTTCATAATAAAAAAAAAAAACTCTAGTGAAAATAGTACTTTTTGACAAGAAAGTATGTATATTTTTTATTGAAAAGCATTTATATTTTTTTATCATCTTGATGATTAATCAAACTCAAATTATAATATATTACATATAAAAATAAAAAATTTTGAATTAATTTGATATCATATATATAAACTAAAAATATATATTTATTCATATTTAATCATTCATCAAAATCAAATTATTAAAATATTATAAAAAATTTTTATATTAAAAGAGACATGTGAAACTTACTTAAAAAAAGATATGATTTTAAAAAAATTACAAAAAAATTATGATGTGGTTAAGTTTTTTTGACTAAGCATTTAATATTAACAAAAAAATAGATATAATAGTTTTTTTATAAAAATAACATTTTTTCAATTTTCTTTTTCTTAGGTTTTCTCCCGTATTAAAAAAGTGAAAATTACAATGAAAACTAAAGGTCATTGAATTTTTACTTATTTCATTTCCTTTAAATTAAAAGTGTATCCAAATAAAAGAAAAGTTTTTCTATTTTCATTATTTTCTTTTCCTTTTCTTCCCCTCCCCTCAATCTAAACATAGTGTTAGTAATGAAAAAAAATACCACATGTTATCTGAATAAAAAATGGCATGTTAATAACAGAGTTTATATTTAACGGTACGTATATTTTACTTTGTTAGAAAAACTTTATTTAAATAAACTAAAAAATGTTTAGTTTTTATTTGGATCAAATTAAGCATTACCTCTTCAATTAAAAATTAATCTAAACCTTGAATATTAAATTGAGTATTTAGCCCAACAAATTTAAATAGGTAACAATGAAATGTTGGATGTAACATTTGAATTTTAAAAGTTTTTAATATTGTATTTGAATAATAGATTAATTAATTAATATGATATTTAGTTTTAATATAGTTAACTTTAAATGACGATATTTGATAGATAAATAACTTTACAAGTATCATATTAATTAATAAATTTATATTTAGATATTAAAGACTTTAAAATTTAAGTATCATATTAAATATTTCATTATAATTTAAGAGTTATTTGTAGTATTAACTCATTTTGATATATATTATATAATACAAGTTTTATTAGAACCGGGAAATGCATAATATTTCTAGTTCAATTTTAGTAACTTGTTTTTAATAAAAAGTTTATATTTTGAACACGCTGGGTGTTTGAATTTTATACATACATCATGTGCTATCATTTTATTAATTAATAAATTTAAAAAATTATAAAATTTCTTAAAAACTATTTAATTGAATTAATATAATTATTGAATTTCTTTTTTAACTTTATCTTTTAATACTTCTAATTCATAATTCATAACAACAACAATAATAATAATAAATTAAGACTTATATCCCATAACTCTAAAATTGGCTGTACATTTATAAATTTAAAAAGTTAAGAGTCTTTAGAAATAAATATTATAAATTATTTAATTGAATAAATATAATTATTGAAGTTTCTTTTTCAACTTTATCATTTAAAATTCTTAGTTTTTTAAATTTATAAATTGATGAAGAAACATCATATAATACATTAATAATAATGTATAAAATTTAAACCCTTCAATAAAATATTAGCATCAAATTATTAAATTCATAATTCATATACTTCATGATAGCAATTAACATCGAATTATATGGACCAGAATTTAAGATAACCCAAAGTGACAATAACAACCTTAACCCAAGACCCAAATTTACTCCAGATAAAATTATTAAAAGTTGGTCCAATCTGAGTTCGTCACTCGATAAAATAAGATATTATATGTTTGGAGTTAAAAATAATATATGTTCTAAATAATATGTATAATAATAAAAATTATATAATTTATTTTATATTATGTGATACAATATTATTAAAATGTAACCTATAAATTATTATCTTAAATACACATCAATAACTTATTTTAAATATTTTATTTTAAATCACCCGATAAGATATTATATATTTGAAATTAAATATAATATATTTATTTTAAACAACATTTATAGTGATAAGAGATTATATAATTTATAGTTATTCGTTACATGAAAAGGTATTATTATAATTTAAAGTATCTATTGGACATTGACTTGGATATTTGTGAATTATTTTATTACTTTAAATATATATTATGGAGTATGGAATAGATTGAAGACATTATTAATTTTTATGTAAGTTATTGGTTAATGTCTTTAGTGGAATATTACTTATGAAAGTTATAGATTTGGACTTAATTTAGTGTAATTTATATTATGTAAATGTGTAATAAGGGATAAGTTATAGACTATTTTTTAGCGTTTAGCATTTTCAAAAATTTAATACTTAATCTTAAATGACTAATGTTTAATTGTAATTTGTAAATGATGAATAGTTCATATTTATTTATTACTTTTGTCACATTTTTATATATTTTCGTGTTAATTAATCATATTTATTTATGTATATTTATATTATTTATGTTTATTTATATTATATATAAATAAATATATTATATTATATTGTGTATAACACAAATAATAAAAATATTATATTTATTTTTAAAGTTTAAATATAATTTATAATTTATAATATATTTATATTTTAATAATTCATATCATTACTTTTAAAAGGAGCAATCGCTAAACAAAAACGCCTACAAATTGGTTACTTTATTATAATGGACAAGAAACATAAAAGCTGAGAAAAAAAAAAGCGTGCTTTTACAGGGGCCAAAATCTAGTTCATTGTAATTACAAAGAGTAAAGATAAAAGGTAAGTGACTATAACAAATAAACACAAACTATATTTCTTTTGTAAGAAGTGGTTGTGGTTTTATTTTTTATAAACATAATATAAATAGTACTAATGTGCCCACCAACTGTTCAAACATCATCATTGGAAGGTGGAAATTCTTCCATGGAACGAGTGAACTCGTCCAAGTACTTGTTACTCAGCTCTACATTGCCAAAAATCTCCTTCATTGCATATGCATTTGCTCTGAGTTGCGAACCCTGGGGATCCACCATCACTCGCTTGATAGACTCAGCCACCAAGTCACTTGTGAATGATCCATCAAGATCGTTTCTTTCTATTTCCAACCCCATCTTTTTGCCATGCATCAACCTTGCAACTAATCCAAGATCCGAACTTCCTACGGGAAACAATATCAAAGGAACACCGAACCCTAGTGCCTCAATAACTGAACTCCAACCGCAGTGAGTTAAGAAACCACCGATTGAGGAGTGAGCCAAGACCCTGAGTTGAGGTGCCCAGCCCCGCAAAACCAAGCCCCGATCGGAAACTCTTTCTTCGAACCCGGGTGGGACTATGTCCTGTACCAAATGTCCTTCAACTGAAGGGCGGTTCCTGACCACCCAAATGAAAGATAACCCTGATTTCTCTATCCCAAACGCCAACTCCTGCATGAACTCTTGACTCATACTCACCTCACTGCCTAGTGCAACATAAAAAACTGACTTCGCTTGTTTACTATCAAGCCATTTCTTTAATGCTTCCCAATTCCCATCTCCTTTATCTTCATCGCTTGGCAGTGATGGCGGCAATAGTCCAAGTGGTACAATTGGTTTCTGATGAAGCTTACTAAGCACACGAAGTGCGTCAGATTCGACCTCAAAGCAGCTCCTCAAAGTCAGAATGTTGCAACTCAAAAGCAATGTTCCGGCCCGTTCAAAATCGGACACAGAGTCCATGCACTCCTGGTGACTCACCATTTCATGGAGCTTAAAAGCTAGGTTATTAGGATAATCCATCCACACCGGGGTCACCGTGAAGTCTTCTGGCCGTTGTCTACATCCGCCAAGCAACTCTGATGGAGGGCCAAAGTAAGCAATTGATGAAGCACAGAGTATGCTGAAGAAAACTAAGTTGATACCGAGTTGATTCGCTACAGATGGTAACCAGTAAGGAGCAAAGTCGTGGACAATCCATTTGACTTGTGATGACCTTTTAAGGAACTCAGTCAACTGAGTTTCGAGTTTGTCATATGCTTTTTTGAGGTAAGGAACTTTGTGAATGGGTAACTCGGAGGTGGACTCAGCTCCTGGTGGCAGGCCATGGACCTGAGGCAAAGGAAATGGTATAAAGGTTATGTTGGAGCAGAGATGCGGAGGAAGCTTTGGGAGGCTGCTGATGTTCTTAGGAGTGGAGATATAGTATATATGGTGACCCTTTTGAGCTAGGAACTTGGAGACTTGAAGAAATGGCATGATATGACCATAAGCTAGCCATGGAAACATCACTATATGAAGTTGTTTTTTGCTGTCCATGACTGGAAAATTAAATTTACAACTGCTGTAAGAATTTTGAGAAGATTTTTCTTCAGTTTTACTTTCTTTGTTTTACAGTTCATTGCTAGCGGAAATGAAGAAGATTGAATTTTAATGATATGTGAGTGTTGTCACACTACCAACAGTCCTACTCCCAATAATTCTTCTGACTCGAGTGGTAGGTGAAAGGTTAGCTCTTGCAATTTCATTGGGGTGGGTCCATCTGCTACCAGGTGTGTGGTCCATCTACTACATTCGTATTTATTAGCAACAAATTCAAATAGGATAATGTTTAAATAATATTTAAATTTAAAAAATTTTTAGTATGATATTTAAATTATACACTATAATACATGTTAGTACTACGTAGCGAAAATAAAAATAACAAATTTTTAAAAATATATATTATATTCAAAATAAATAAAATAATGATTTTTAATTTATATTTTTTTATCTAATGTAAATGACTCTTAACAAAATTTCTCCATTACACTATATATATATATATATATATATATATGATATGCATACAAAAAATTTTTACTTGGAGTTAAGATTGATGATACAGCAAACATAGTCGGCATTTTGGAAAAAAGTAAAAATCGAAGAATAAAGACAATATTAGATATGTTATTGAAAATCTATTCATTGATTTTTGAAATAATTTCATCCTATGCTGTTACTTTAAGACTTTCTCCACCACATAAATTAAAATTTAGTATAAACTAATTATTAATAAAATAAATTATGTTTTGTTACAAATAATTATGAATTATTCATATATATATATATATATGTAAATGTATATACCTACCTTTTCATTTATTTTTTTATGAAAACTTCTCTTTTTAGCAATTCGCTTGCTAACTTTTATTTTATCAAATTTATTGTTGTTGGATTTATCAAATTTCAAATGTGAGCTATGTATATACAAAATTTTATTCGGTACATTTTTAACATGATTAATTTAGGCCTATTTATAACCTGAGTTAGAACCATTAATAAATGATTATTGCATAAATCATTTAAGAGGATTATTTACAACGTATAAAAAACCTACAAGTTAGTCGATTTAGGGATTTAAAATCAATTCGGGTCAAATCCAGTTAAACTTGATTAATAAAGTTAAAAGTAATTAAACAAAGTTAAAATTACACAAAATTTGATCAAAATAGATAGAATTCACGTTAATTCTCAAAATTCACAACCTAATTGAAATCAATGTGATTCAAAAGTAAAAATTGGTGATTTTTAAAATATTAAAAATTGTTATTGCACTTATGAAATTACAAAATTACTAAAATACCCTTTAGAGGTATTTTCGTAATTTAAACTTTCTGAACTCGAATTTTTATAAAACTTTCTAAATCTTAATTTCATAATATTTCATGATTTTTGATGTATTTGAAATCATAACAATACTCCAAAAAGGTATGAAATTATCAAAATACCTCTTAGGGGTATTTTTGTAATTTGGCCTTTTTTGGCTCAAATTTTTATGAAACATTTCAGATCTCAATTTTATAATATTTTCATAATTTTTGGTGCTTTAAAATTTAAAAAATGAGCATGAAAACATTAATTTCTAAGAAAACGACCTAAATATCGAAAACTTTGTACTAAGACTAAAATGATATTTTCATTTAATTTAGGGGTTATAAAAATCTAACATTTACAGTAAATAATGTGGATTATTAGATCTGTTATTGAATCTTAATCTAATGGTTAAAGATTGTTCCTTGAAAAAAAAGAAAGAATTTTGGCCCTTAGGATTAAATTTGATTCAAAGGCTTTTATTTAATCTTTTAAAGATATTTTGGTGCCATTTTTCTTTACAAAAAAAAGTGGCTCTAAAAAAAAAGGGGCTTTTTGAAAGAAGCAAAAATCAGAGAGGAAAAAGTTTAGAACAACCATAAACAAAAAAAAAAGGAAAAGAGAAAAGTCTTTCAAAGTAAAAAGGAATAAGTAGGACGAAAGGTAGCTCACTGTCATATTTTTGTTTTGGTCTTGTTTCTGGCTTTCATTTTAAGCTATTCTCATGCGGATGTTGTTGCTTTTTTCATGCTAGTTATTTTGATCCATATTTTTGCATTTGAAAATATAGGCTTCTTTCCTACCACATTTTAGTTTCGTATAAAGTTGGTGGTATCGAGGCTTGTTTTTCTTTGGCTAGGTAGAAAAAGAGTTCACTAAGACTAAGTTTGGATTTTTAGATTTCATTTTTGTATAAAAAGGTCTTTTTTTCTTTTTTTTTTTTGGGTTAAAATTCTTAACTCCAATATGTTTTAGGCTTCTAAAAAATTATATATATATAAAAAAGAATTCTTAAATGCTTGGTGCTCGCATATTCCTCTTATGTGGTATGCATGATATCGATTTATCCTTTATGCTTCCTGACTTGTTTCTCCTCCTCTATATGTGGACTGTAGTTATTTGAAGCTTACAAGTTGGTTCTTGTTCTTTTTGGTTTGCCACAAGTAATCCATTTTAAGCATGCTAACTCGTTAGTTAAGGGAAGCTTAAAACTTCAGACTTTGACTGATTCTAGTATGTCTTTATTTGTAGGTTGTTTGTTAAGGGTTTAAAGGTTATTGTATTTGTTTTCTTCTTCTCTTCGTTGTCATAGCTATTTTGTTTTTGTTTGCAAAAACTTTAACCTTTATCTTGGTTTCATGCTTGTCGGTCTTTAGTTGCATTTGGTGTGCTTGTTAGAATTTAAACCCTCTAATAGTTGTCTGGTTTTTTTCATGTTGTTGGCGAGAGTAATGAAAGGATGGCCCTTTTTTTTGGAAAAAAACAAAAACAAAAGGAATAAGCATGCATGAAAACCAACGTGGGGGCCATATCCTTGATTTTCTTTAGTTTGTCTTAAAAGAAATAGATCTTGACAATCTTTTTGTGGGTAGAATTTTGTAATAAATAATTTTTTTAGCATTAAAAGCCAACATGGCCCATATCCTTGGTTCTCTTTAGTTTGTTTTAAAAGAAATAGATCTTAACGACCTTTTAGTGGTTAGAATTTTGTAGTGAATAAATATTTGTTTTCATGAGCATTGAAAGTTAAATGTGGGGCCATTGTTGTAAGATTGTTGAATAACACCATGTCCAAAGCCATGTTGTGAGGAATCATTTTTGTAAGGATGTTGCATTGAATATTTTTCCTTTATTCTTGTTTAGTAAAAAAAGAATAAGTTTAGAAAATTCATTCTAGTTAAAATTTTATAATAAGTAAAAATTTTAAAATATTAGGCTTAAAATTTGTTTTCAATAAAGTTTATTTCTATTATATCTATGCAATTTTTTTTTGTGATTGTTTAAATTTAATTGTAGGCTTAATTTTATGCATTGTTGATTTCTTTATTGTTTGGATTTTCATGCTTGTTTTAATTTAATCTTTCATACTTAAATATATGTTTGATAAATTTTATTAATGATAATAATAAAGAAAGAAGAAATATATATGAAATATGTAAGAATATAAAAATTCATTTTTTTATAAGAATTATAAAAATGAGCTTGCTCCAAAAGTCTGCTTAGATGTTAGAGACTTTTAGAGAGGTTCGTAAATTCTTAAAATTTAAACCAAAATTTATCCAAAACCCTAAACTTGTTTTAAATTTCTACAGATTTGCATAAAAACCTTTTATGAAATAATTTGTTTCCAAATGCTACCTAGATATTAAGGTATTCAGAAAATTTTATTTCATTAAGAATTTTCACACATTTTCACAACTTAAAATAACTTCATTTTGTTAAATTAACAAATATAAAAATAATAAATAATAAAAATAATAGGATGTGATTTTAAATATAAAAAGTCACACCAAACTCTACCTAAATGTTAAAGAGTCCAAGTGATTTCTTTATATTTGAAAACTCGATTCTTAAATTTATAATTGATCATTTTTTAGATTAATGTGTTCATTTATAATGCATATATATATATGTTTGCTCTAGTTATGGATGTTTAATATTAATTATCTTATTTTTCTTTTTTTTAACTACATAAAAAGTTTTCTTAAAAATTTTTAGTTTTGAACAAATGAAGTTAAAATAGCATTCTGTGAAATATAATTATTGGTACTCTGCCTAGATATCAGAGAGTTATCAATGATTATCATTCACAAAAAATGTTATTTTATTATTTTTAAAAAGAATGTTACGATGAATCTCAAATGAAAAGAATAAATTTGAATTCTGCCTTTATGTCAGAAAATTCGAAAGTATTTCTTTAATTTGAAGATTTTCATAATATTCTTAAATAAAAATTTTCTAAAACTAATTTCATTTCTTAAAAATGAAGAGAATTATAATTGAATTTTATATAAAAACTATTTTGTCTAAAATTATAATAGTGCATAATTAATTGGTATCAAATTTATGGGTATTGTGGAGGTGCTAATCTTTTTCACATGTAATCGACTCTCAAATCTAATCTATTTTCATAAACCAAAATTATCTTTTTAATAAAGCTTTAAACCTATTTTATTGTTTTATTAAAAGATAAAATTTTTGGGTGGTCAATCACACCTTAAAAAAGATTGATGGCGACTCCTCATGTTTTTCATAATTTTTAAATTTTTACGTCTAACGATTGAGTTTCTGGACCAATACGTAATGACATGTTATTTTCATTTTCACAACTTGATTTTATTGACAAAAAGACAACGAAAACAAAAAAAAAATTGTCACTAAAAAAGGCAAATAAAAAACAATCCAAATAGGAAGAGAATAATAACAGCTTCATTTTAAACTCATTTAGGATTCCTCATACATTGTCAAAATAAAAACCATCACAACCTATTACCCGCAAAAACAAACCAAAAGGATATTATCAAGTTAAACACAATCTTAACTATATTATATTCTATATATGGAAATATTGAAGTAAAAAAAAAATTTGATTAAGCTTGTTAGTAATATCATACTCGACGAACCTTGTGAGTGAGAACTTCAGTAGTTGAAACTTCACCAACATTGTTAAACATATGATCAATCAAATATATGATCAAGGGTGAAACAATGCAATTAGCAATATATCCAATGAGGCTAACAACCATCAACCACATATCTACATTATCCACAATCATGATAATAGAATGTATAGATCCATTTTTCTTTAAAGG